TCTCGAGAGACATACCTGACTTGATTCACCACTACCAGCATCAGCTTGAAGGAAATACGCAGGGGGGCACTCATCCCTCCTCTGTATGGGCCGATATGTCTCGAGAGCCTGTGGAGACTGCATGATCCTCTGGGAAAGGATGCTGGGGAGGCCATTGCGAAAATTACCCAAAGACACCCAGTGCCATAAAGCAACGAACCGGAAATGATATCTCGCAGCCGCTGAGAGGACTTCAGTCTGGGGAGTTAGGGCAACCGGCTCGCGCGCCAAGGAGATGCTGCCTGATGGCCTTCCCACCGAGCTGACTGTTCACCCCTGACCTGGTACTGGTTGTCCCTTTTCAAGCCATAAGGCATGTTCTTTGTATATCGGACTTGTCCCTCCGCCAGGACAATAGCTAGCTCTGACATTGCACGATGAGCCTCGGTGGCCAATATCAGGACTGCAACCCTAGGCGAGCCTTGAGTAGTTGGAGGTCAAATGAGCACCAGTGCACAAACATTCTCGACGGCGCTGGCCTATCCGACTTGGGGTGTCGTGCACAGTTGCCTGCGAACGGTGAACAGCACGACATATGCGGGCTGGAAGCTGAACAGAAGCTGATCGAACATGCGAGGTATAGGCTGTGATTGGTTGTTGAGCCAATCTGCCATAAGCTGCCTGAATTCTAGGCAGGCGGACAAGCACCATCGTCAACTTCTTCGTTCCCTCTCGACCGTTGCTCCCGCCCACTTGCAAACAAAAGGAAAGTTTGCATTGACAGTTGTAGCCCAATGTCGCCTTTGGGTACGTCATAAGCCCGATCGTGAGACGAGAGCCAATTGATCAGCGTGAGGGACGGAGGTGGGAGCTTTTGCACATCGTTTTGGGATGACGAAATATCCGTCAGGGACCCTGGCTCGTCCCCAATCAGTTGGATCTCGCCATCCTGGAGGTCTCGCACATCTGTTCTGGTCGCTGGCTGTTACAATGGCACCCTGGATTTACATGCCATTGGCCAGAGCACCTCCCAGATTCAGCTTACCACGGATAGAGGTCAGTAAGCCACGACTGCGCCTTCAGCTTTGAGCAGCAGCCTAAATCTTCACAATGCAACCAAACAAGTTGGAGGGAGTGAGCATGGCATGGAAATGCAAACATTCACTTTCGCGCCTGGCTTCTGATCCATTGCTTCTCGCTCGAGAATGCTCTCTGCAGGCGGCTTCTTCGGTCAGGACTCAGAAGCCCTTCTGCTTTTGGAGGTAGTGGCTTGCATGCAAGTGGCTGCAACAAAGCACACTAGCACGTCGCGGTACTTGGTGTCTCCGGTACCTCCCGCAGTGTTCTTTTCCCAGTAAGGCTGATAGTAACGAGACTGCTCTCATGACGACCAGAAGGGTAATCTATCTCGAGGATAGTGGTGGCGGCCAATAAGCGCCTGGGCGGGTTGGGCCAGACCTATTGCTAGTCCACGGACGCCCACGGACTACTTTTCGGCCGAGCCAAACGAATCTCACGACACAAGTCCTGAGTGTGAATCTTCGACTAAAATGGCGACCTACGAAATGAGCACCGCAGATCCCACCCCGCATGAGGTTGAGTGGCTTGCACTTTATGGCCGCGCCGCGAGACGAGTGCAGAACGGGAGACCCCCAGAATGACTTCGTCCTCTCGGGGAACTGATGAAGCTTGAACAAGTCCATTCGATCAAGCCCCGCTTCCCTGTCGTAGTTTATTGCAGGAAAAAGGGAGAGTCGAGAGCTGTCGGCATTGCGAGCGTAAACCAGAAAAAAGCAATGTTCATCCCAGAGAGGATAGACGCACGATGTGCACATTGCAGATGGGGATTAGCGTAGTGGCTAGCACACATGTGCCATCCATTCTCGTCCGAATCGGGGCAAATCTGCACCACAAGTGTCCGTTATGAGAAGATGCGTCAGCAGGGCGTGGGCGTGATTGGCACATGCTGCAGCCAGCTTGGCTTCTGCATGGGCTAGGTAAGCTGGTGGCTGGAGATGCGCCTCTCAATCAAATTCGCCGTAGGGCCCTTTCTAGCGGCGCCTCAGAAGCGGCCGACTCTGATTGTCAAATCGAGCGTGTCATGATTCTGGGCATTGAGTACCTAGCGAAGAAACAATTGGTGGAGGAAGGAGATTAGAGGGATAGGGACGAAGACAGAGTGCGCAACCTCGCATCCAGTGCTGCTGAGAACTGCAATACCAGCAGGCACGCCAAGAAGACAAGGTGAGCTCGGATGTCACGCGCATAGCGGCATAGGTACCAGAGGGGAGGAACAGCTTCTGTGTCTGAAGGTTGGATTGGTGACAGGATGGAGCTTAGAAACCGGCATGACGGCTCAAGGGGCGCTGCTCAGATGCAAGGCAAGCCCACGAACAGCTGTCGTGGATCCTAAGGAGATCGATTAGACGGAAAGCAGCAACAGTGTTGCTGCCAGCCCCACAAAGTGCCGAGGGCACCATCACCACCTCTGCTTCATGGGTCGATGTGTTGAGTCGATGTGTCGATGCGCGCATCGACGTCTTGCTGCTTGCGATCACTGGCAGTGAGGAGGAGGAGTGCCTGGGGGATGGATGTACCTCGTCACCTCGTGTTATGTCACAAGCCCCATCCGGGCCAGACCCACCATCCCTCGGGGACCAACCTTACCCAGCTTGGAGTGCTGGGAAGGGGGCTTGCCAGTGCGTGCGTCCCTGGTTCGATTGGTTCAGTGGCAGGCCCTCTTTGGTCCCCGGTTGGTACCGGTTACCTCATTCGCCTCCCCTCGTCCTCACTTGCACATCACCACAGGCTAGAGGTCGCCACCAGTCACCACTGACGATGGCCTCGTCTTTTCTGGGGCTCTGACGACGCAAAGAACACGCCCCCACCAGATGCACAGCCGTCCGCTAATACGGGCTAGCTGAGTGTCCCACTGCCGGCTTGCGCTTCAGGATCCGCGAGAGGCCGCAGGAATCTGTCACTGCAGTTTGCTTACCGGCAGCTACAAAGTACCAACAACGCTTTGCCCATGCGCTTCGAGCGGGCAGGCATTCCTATGAAGAGCATTCAGTTGTGCGATCGATCTGCTTCTGTTTTGCCCCTTCGCGGGATGGATATAGGCCACCACGGCTTGAACGTTGCGGCGAACCTGATTTGCAAACCATTGCACTAGAGTTCGAACTGACAGAAGACCGGCGCCTGCAGTGGCTCCTTTGAAGATAAGTTGTCAAATAGTGTGCAATTAAACAGCACCACTAAAGCGGTTTCTTCCGGGGACTGAAGGGTCTTTAAGGCGACGATCATACGTCCTTCTCATATCAAGCCACATCGGCTGGTGATTCGCTTTCCTGGCGGTAAGCAAGCAACGGTTGCCATTATGCCTGGCGAACAGGAGATGAAGCGGCGAAATGCCTTTAGACCCGTGGCGCAGGCGCCGGTCTCCCACTCCTCCCGGGCTGCAAAGTTGCTCCTCACGAAGGGGCCAGCACCAAGAGACACTGCCTTGGAGCTTGGCAACTGGCTGCGACGGAGACCCACAAGAAAACCAGATGTCGCGCCTGAAACCTGGAAACGCACTTCGTGTTGCGGCAAAGGGTCTGATCGTGGAGTCTGCCCTGTTGAGCACCCGCCCGCCGGATCGCAGCAAACTGTGAATCGAGAGATTGGGAGCAGTGCCTGTGCCACCGCGTCCCCATGCACCTGCGGCCATTTTTGCTTTTATCTCATTCGCGTATGGGGTACCTCATCCTCTGCAGCCTGCAGACTATTGTGGTTCAACTGTACTCCGTAGCCTCTCACCCTCTCTTTCCCAACCCAGGCAAGACCCTCCGCGCATCTGCACGTACTTCTAGGATGGATCGCCCCATTGTGGCTTGCTTTTCCACCCCCGCCACTCCCCTGGCTAACATGTCAAAAGTTAGCCCGTCAATAACTACTACAGGTACCTAAGTGATGGGGGCCTACTCCGTACTGGGGGCACTGTCGCTTGCCTTAAAGCAGGCAGCCCAGTGCAGTGGTAGTGGGCACGGAAGCTAAGGTACCTCCATCCATGGTTGCTGGTTGCTGGTTGCCGGTGCTGGCCATGGAGGGAAGCAAGCATGTATTCAGGTACTTGGCCTTTTGTTGATGACACAAATCCATCACGCTACAAAACCGCATCCAACTACCCGTAAAATCGCCCATCCAACGCAGGGTCTTGTCTGGCGGCTTGTACCTTTTACTTTTTTTTCTTGCACCGGCAGGTACTGTGCCTCCTCGCTCTCCGTCATCAGTGATCCATCCATCCACCATTTCATCCCATCAAATCGCCTCCTCCCTCACCACCCAGCTTGCCAGCCTGCCTCCGTCAAGACAAGGACCAGAACTAGACCAGCCAGCAGAGTACCGGTCACCCATTTCGGCATCCCTGGGCGTCTGCGGAACCACAAACCAGCACCAAAGCAAAGCCATCTTCCTCGATCTTCTTCCTCCCTCTCCCCTCTTTTGCCTTCCAGTCCAGTCGGATCCTAGGTACCTTTGCTCTTCTTCCCCCAGTCAGCAAAAAAGAGCCAGGGTCGTCATCGCGCCGGATTTTTTGCTCTCTGCTTTTTGGAGGCTCGTTGCGAATTCTCCCAGAACACACCAGCCTCACCCTCTTCTTTCGCTACACCCATCGACATCGACATCCATCGTCTATTCTCTTCTATGTCAAATGTCCGCTGCGGCTGCCACACAATAGCGCAGAACCCTATTGTTTTCGAGGAATTTTGGGTCGAACCGTTTCTAATTAACTCGGTTCCCACGTTGCCGCATTCTTGTCTTATACACCAGGACCAGCTCCCGCCTCCCAGCCCATTTTCTCCCAGAGCTCTCGCCACGATCTCCAGCCACACATCACAGCCTCCGTCATTTCGTCCCTCAACGATGAACTCTGACCGGCAGTGACAACGAAAGGGCACCCACAGCGAGTAATTCGACTGCGATTCTCCAGGCTGGAGTCATTGACCAAACTGTAAACCTGTCGCGCACGACTCGGGCAGCCCATGGCATCCGAAAAAGGCCCCATCGCTACCGAAGCCCCTCTCGTCGCCGCGCCCGCGCTCGCCTCTGCAGCTCCCACCGAACCGGAACCCGTCACCGTCGACGTAGTGCGAGCGAACTCTCTGAAGCGGCCTCGCGAAGCTACCCCGACATCGCCGTCAGGCGTTGCCGGTGGTCACCCGAGCTCGGATCTCTCTCCGACCAAGATTGCACGACTCGTCAGCTCCGCGGCAAGACATACACCACCGCCACCCTTGACGGCTGCCGCCGCCTTGGAAGACGAGCAGCGCAGGAGGGAGGAAGAGGCTCGATTACATCCTCCAGACGCAATCAGCGACAATCCCGCCCAGAGGGCGCTTGCAGCCCTCATGTCTCCTACTCTTGCCATGAGCCGACCCCAGGACGCGCCGGCCGCAGCGCCGGCCGCCCCCGAGGCCGACCACAAGCTCATCGATCCTGCCATCAACCCCTCGGCCAATGCGACGACAGCGGACCAGTCAACGGAGCCTAATGCCCAGAGCTCAGCCGGCAACCATAGTATTGGTGCCGGTGCACCTGTAACACACAGCCCAGCTCCGATGGAGGTGGATTCGCGCAATGACAGGCCTCAGTATTTGCAGCCCGAGACGCAGGCGGAAGACAAAGCTGGTTCAATGTCCTACCCGGGGGTCCTGCCGCCCAGCGCCAACATGCCAGCCCCTTCGGCTCCTCAACGCGGCATGAGCCTGCCAATGCCCTCGGCACAAAACCCGGAAGCACCACGTTCGCCCTCCTCATCCAAGAAGCACAAGTGTCCATACTGCGATACCGAGTTTACTCGCCACCATAACCTCAAAAGCCACCTGCTCACGCATAGCCAGGAGAAGCCATATGTCTGCCAGGAATGCCAGATGCGATTCCGACGTCTGCACGACCTCAAACGCCACAGCAAGCTGCACACGGGCGAGAAGCCTCACATCTGCCCGAAGTGTGACCGCAAGTTCGCCCGTGGAGATGCCTTGGCCAGACACAGCAAAGGCGCGGGGGGGTGTGCTGGGCGGCGATCGAGCATGGGAAGCTTCGCTGGGGACGACTACGACGAGGGAGTAAGCACCAACGATGCCGACGACTCGGTCATGTCTGGAGTGACCTACGACGGCGTCGACACGGACATGACGGAGGAAGAGCGGCGACGTCTGAGCCTGCCTAGTATCAAGGCGCAACATGTCTCGGGTGCCCAGGCACCGCTGGACGGTTATTCGCATCACTCGCGGACTTATCCTCCCGCAGGCGCCCGGGCAAGTACGGCCGGTGGTCTGTACCCACCAAACGTCGAGCGCGGTTCGGGTTCAAGCTCAAATACCTCCCCGAGTATTCCAGGTGGGCATACCCCGAGTACTAGCATTTCTTCAATGCCAACCAGTGCAGGTGCTACGTCAATGTATTCGCACGGCATGACGGAGAGCCCGAAGCCACTGAGTCCTTCAATGCAGCAGCATCAGGCTGGCCACGACCCGCATCGGCAGCATGACGCTGCCGGGCGGCGGCCTTCGGACCTCTCGGCTCCGCACGGCACTTCGCCAGAGTCTAATGTCAACCCGCTTCTGGACGTGGCTCGGTTCAATGCATCGTCGCACTCTGGTGCACCGCAAGGCGCTGCTATGCCACCGAGCCAGCAACATCCTATCGGAGCTCACCATTCGCGCACCTCCAGTGGCCATGCCGCTAGTGGTGGCAGCGGCGATAGCGCAGCCCATGTGTTTCCAGCGGATCAAGGCATGTGGTCGGTCATTCAGAGCCTCGAGGAGAGACTGAGGCAGCGGGAGGAACGGGACAAGGCCCAAGAGTCCACTGCCCAAGCCCGCGACACGCAACGAGACACGCAGATTGCGTACCTCACGAGCCAAGTCAACACCCTCTCTACCGAGAACAGTGGGCTGCGTGAGCAGCTGGCTGCAGTGCTGCACAAGCTTAGTGCGATTGAGAACGAGGTCGCCAGCCTGCGGGCGCAGGACAACGCGGCACCGATGACCGTGCCACCGGTAGAGGCGGTGCCGCCGCCAGTACCAATGGAGCCGAAAAACTAGGATATTGCAGAGATCAAGGCTGGCAAGCGCCCAGCGAGCTGGATGCCCACTCTCGTGATTAGGTCACGGAGCCTCGGGTGTGGGCGTTTGGTTGATGGTCGACCGGCCGAGTACGAAGATTGAGGTCTAACGGGGGGACGCAAGAGGACCCCTGCGTGAGGGCCTTTGGATGTCTGAGGACATTGTTACACTATTCATTCCCGGCGCAGGGACATGCAAAATCCCAACTTCATGTGTTGCTATTTCAGTTTGGTAGAATTGTCCGGGATGGTCTCGCGTGAATCCCTTTCACGTGGAAGAAATGAGTTGGGGTTTGGGGTGTTTACTATTAGAGAGTCACGATCACGGGCTGTACCTTCGCTTTCTTTTTTCTCAGAGGGGGCGTTTCTTCCATTCGTTGCATGGATATATCCTTCCCACGTTTGGTGTTTTTCTTCTCCCAGCACAGCAGAGCTGGTTTCAAAAAAGGGCAAGAGGCGTTTACGGAGGGGGCATTTCCTTAGGGGGCAGGGCTGGGATGTCAAGGCTGCCACGGACAAAAGGTTGTTTGGGGACTGGAGCTCTCAGATGGCTCGTTGCCTTCGTTTGTTTATTGGACTTCATTCGCTATCCGGACTATGTATCCTCCCATGTTTGATTTGGCGTGCTGCTTTTCCAAAGGGGTTATGTCCCGATAATGAAAGAGAGTGCGCTCGAAGGAAAGGATTCCTCGATATACTGTCGTTTTGATGCTGCTGTCTTTAATCCCCCCACCTTGCACCCGTCCGTTGTTGCTCGTTCTGTGGCATTCAGTGTACTATATACATATATACCTTGTCGCTTTTTGGACAGAGACAGTAGATTGCCTCATGGCGATACCAAATGTGGAAATCTGCCGCTTCATCTTGTCTTTTGGAAGAGTTGAATTGGGTGCCTTTCAGAGCATGCTGTAAGGGGCCAAATGTAGGTGATATTTACTTTCTTGGGTCTTTCAGATCGGATCTGTATCGGTGCATTTTAGAGCCATCATCATACATAGTTGAGCATACACGACATCCAGTCTGGGAATAATAACTGCTGGATCTTATCTCTTCTTGTCGCTTTTGGTAATTACCATCGAGTCGCATCTACTCCGTGCTTGAGCTGGAGACACGGCCAAGTGCGGGTCACAGAAGCAGGGACACACACCGGGACATGGCGCTAGCACGTTATAGGACAGCTTACGCTAGCGCAGATGCGAGGTAAGCTTTCTTGATTGACCCTCGGACAACGTCATAAGCACGAGCGAAAGGGCACTTCCCGTGCCTTCCCCCCTCAGAAAGCTACGCAAAGCAGCCCTTTGCGCTTTCCACCTCGGTGCGACCAGTAACTTTGGAGAAATCCGCCTCTTATTAACCTTCCTTTTTCTCATTTGTTTGCCAGATACCGCCTGCTCTTTTAGCGTCACATTCCAGTCTCTTGCTCTTCCTCCTTTCTCCTCCTCCCTCCGACGCGATCCGCTCTCTGCTGAACGGCGTTTGCCCAAGGGCCGCGATCCGAAATATTGATTGCGACGAGCCCATCACATGCGACAATAGCCTCCGGAACCTTTCAACTGCCCAGGGACTGATACTGGGCCCGTGGCGATTGATATCCTCACACGAGGCCGCATTACCGCACATAGCTCGACGTGTCGGCCACTTCAAAACGGCCTTTATTCTGTTGGCTCCCTCTCGTCTCGACGGACGACGTTAGTCGCCTCTCGACACACAGTCTCCCCGCGAAATTTTCCCCATGGGTGTCACCGAAGGCCAAACCAACGGCCATGATGGTCAGACTGGTAAGCTCGTTGATTTAGCACCCGAGATTGCTTTCTTTTACTGCCTGACGACACCCGCGCCCCTACCCCTTCACAAGCCGACCCGGCAAGTGGTTTGGGACTAGACCATCTCGCCGTTGGGCTGTACGGCCGGATATCACCATTGAATATCTAACAGGATCGATTGCACACACCAGATAGAAGAAGGATTTGCATAGGTAGTGATCACATCGCTGACCAAGACTTTGCAGACTCGAAGGTCGAGGAGAAATCCGTGCCCGGTGGGCCTGTAGGTCCGGTATCATATGCCGAGGTAGCAGCTCAGCCTCCAAGCGAACACCCATCAAACCCGGGCGAACACGCTCAGGGACAACTGGCCAATGGAAAGGTGAGAACCTTCTGCCGCATCTGCAAAGAAACCATCGTTTTCACTCGAGACGACTGACCAGGCGAGAAGGCTGCTGAGGTGAAAATTTCGTCGGCCGACGACAATCCCACCAATGGAATCAAGCCACCAGCAGGTGTGTCGTACGCCAAGGTGGCGGCAGGAAAGACACAGGCGAACGGAAAGGCGGCGCTGAAGGTCAAGACTTCGTCGAGGGCGAATGGACCGCCCGGCGATATCAGAAGACGCACTGCCCCCAAGAACCAAAGCGGAGGCCCAGCACATCGGCAAACCCAAGGCGATGATGATGAAGACCAAGCGCAAGCTTCAACACGTATTCGATTTGCTCCCATCAGGGTCCCTCTGAAGCGTAGGTTGCAGACGTTGACGGTTTTGGTGCACTGCATGTGTCTGCTGGTCGCGGTCCCCTTCTTTTTCTTCATTTGCGCCATACCACTCGCATGGCCTCTCCTGGTGCCATACTTGTTGCATGTGATCTTCTCTACCGCTGCCACGGACGGGTCGCTCACGTACCGATCCAAACGGTTCCGATCCTCGAGGATCTGGAAACTGTTTGCTGAATACTTCCCGGCCAAGCTGCACAAGACTCACGACCTACCACCTACTAGGAAGTACATCTTTGGCTATCATCCACACGGGATCATCTCTCACGGAGCATTTGTGGCTTTTGCCACAGAAGCCTTGGGGTTCTCTGAGAAGTTCCCCGGCATCACAAATAGCTTGCTGACTTTGGATTCCAACTTTAACATCCCCATATACCGAGAGTACATTCTTGCGGCGGGCATTCGCTCGGTCTCCAAAGAGTCGATCACAAATCATCTCACTCGAGGCGGGAAGAACAAAGAAGGGATGGGTCGAGCCGTGACCATCGTGATTGGGGGCGCACGCGAGTCCCTCGAGGCGCGCCCTGGCGTATTACGGTTGATCCTGCGGGATCGCATGGGTTTCGTGCGGATGGCCATGCGGACCGGGGCCGACCTCGTGCCGGTCCTCGCGTTCGGCGAGAATGATCTGTACAACCAGCTGGAGCCGGAGAATCACCCACTGATCCACAGGCTTCAGATGTTCGTTCTGAAGGCCTGGAAGTTTACGCTACCCTTTATGCACGGTCGCGGTATCTTCAACTACGACTACGGCCTCATGCCGTTCCGAAAACCCCTCAACATCGTCGTTGGCAAGCCGATTCCTGTCGTGGCGTCGTCGAATGACATTGTGAACCCGGCAGAAGTTGAGAGGGTGCACGCTCTTTACTGTGACGAATTGCAGAGGCTGTGGGATGAGTACAAGGACAGGTTTGCAAAGGACCGAAAGGGGGAGATGGAGCTGCTGGTATAGAGTGGACAGCGGTATGTCATCCGGATGCCCCCTGGAGGTTGACAGGAGCTAACAGTAGAAACCTCAGCCCATCTTGTCATAAGCCTACGGTCAGTGTTGAACCAAAGGGTTCCACCGCTTCGTCAGCTTCGTCAGGAGCAATGCCAAGAATCTCTCTGCCAGTCCTAGCATACGACAATTGGGTGTTGAAAGAAGTGAGCACCCAGGGGCAGGGACGAACATCCGCTCTCCCACCGGTTATGGCATATCCTGAAACCGATGACGAGTTTTTGGAAGGGCCTCGATCGTCTCCTACTCCTATCGGGAACCCCCCTTGAAGTTCTTTTCTGTAGTTTTATGTAAATCGAGGGGTTCTGGGATCCAAGCTTTTGGGCAGAATGGTCTTTTGTTTGGGCCGTGGTATGGAATTTGTAAGAATCAGCATGATAGGGGAGCGAAATATCGAGGAGGAACCCGGAAAGAGACTCATAATGGACATAACTCTTTATTCCATGAGCGTTCATTGACCCTATTGTTGTGCTCTGGACAGCGATTATCTGTCCACTGGGTCAGAGACTTAGGACTGCGTCATCGTGTTTACAGACTGATAATTGCTATGTGTCATGGCTCTTTCTTGATGCTGTTCAAGGCGATCTCAACTACACAACACTGAGTGGCAATGCATGGCGGCTCTGCGCCTCATCAGCGTCACTCGGAGGATGCGTACGATCTCTGTACAAGTGTGCTTGGGGTAGACGAGTAGATTGATGGGAGAATGGGGAGGTTTGTTCGTCCTCGGCATGCGTCTCCTGGAGAATCAACGAACGCCGACTCGGCCCAACCATGCCATGACGCCCAACAGGAGTGGTGTGCATGCAGCGCATTGCCCGTGCTGCAAGGAACCCTTACTCTGCACCTTCAGGCCTGCCGCATCGTGATGCTCGCGATGAGCACGGCATACTGTTTGTCCCTTCTGTCTCAAGTCCTCGCGGTTCAACCAGCGGTGAGATGTTTCTCTTCCGTGGAGAGAGAGGCGCGCGTCTCTCTCATCTCTGTGACAAAAAAAAAATTACTTGGACAGTCATCGGAATAAGAGCCGCAGCAAGGAGAGAGAGCAGCCCGAGTGCGCATCATTCCGCTGCTGCCTGGAGGGGGGGAAAGAGAGAGGGAAGTAAAGCAATTGCTCCCACGATGGATGCATGTCTCGAAGCTTGTCCCGCATGTATAGGCCAGGGCTGATGAGGCTTGCACTGGTGACATGCTGCTTTTTTTTTTTTTTTTGGGTGTGCCAGACGCAGCTGAATGGATGGTCTGCTCGCTCTCCTTACATCGTTGTACGAAAAACCCTCGAGGACTTCTTTTTTTTTCTTCCCCCCAATGACTGTTCGAGGATAAAGATGACCAAGCACACAGTGTCACGAGTGTCTTGAAAAGCAAAGAAGAAGCAAGTACCACACCTTTTCGTTCCCCGGTTTTCTCATCCCGATCCGAGGAGGCCCGTTTGCGAGGCCGATCTCAGACACCACGCAAGCCACCCTGCAGCCATTACGAAGCCACGGAGGGGGAGACAGGAACGGGACCTTGGCACGAAAGAGGGAAAAAAGAAAAAAAAAATGAAAGGAGAGGAAAAGAAATCAAAGGCGAACCAGGTAGGCAACATGAGTTTGGCCAGTCGCAAGGTCCCAACTCACTTGCGGGCGACGAGGAGCGGACCTGCGGGGGACCGGCGCGATGACCGCTGCTTCCCCGGCCCATACCGCCGGACGTCATCTCCTCTCTCTCCCTTGCGTCCCATCCGGATCCTTGGCTCCTTCTTTTTCTTGGCCGGAGAGCGAGCCGTCAAAAAACAAGAAAGCAAGTGCCCGGCCGGAACCAGCCCCGCGCCGCCGCCATGAAAATTTGATTCACTTGATGCTGTGAGGCGCGCGCTCGTCACCCGAGACAAGCGGTGGGACGAAGAGGGAAAAAAAGGCATATCACAACTCTGCCATTCTTTCCGCCCTGTTTCTTTCCACCCCCCTCACCGGTGAGCAGCAAAAAAGAAAAAGAAAACCCTGGGAGCCTAGCATTGGCACAGACATAGTATCGTACGCCATATCGGGACCTTCCACAGGAAACGTCAAGGATCGCTCAGACCAGCACAAAAGATAGCCCACGAGAATTCCCTTCCCGTGTCCAACCAACCCCGGTCTCTGCGGCATGAACAGACAAAAATGAGCAAGCAACCCCCTGGTTGGGTGGCTGACCCCGAGCCAGGATTTATGCTCTTTTGCGCAACCCGCGATGCGCGGCCGTGCCCATCAGTGACAGCCCGTTGAACAGTGCTTTTCTTCTTCTTCTTCCCGCTTCCTTGCTGTGCTGGGGGGGGGCCACACCGCCCGGGGCACACGGGTTGCCAGTGCCGTGCCGCCAAAGGAGGGTCACCGCTTACCTACCCCCCGACTTTCGTCTGTGTGTGTGTGTGCCTGCGGCGCGCGTCTGTGTGCCGCGATGCCAGCAAAAAGTTGCAGATGGATGCTACGTCGCCATCCCGTTGGTCGGTCCGCCGGACTGGGAAGCTTGGTACCGTCTGGCACTGCGCGGGCGGTTCGGCCTAGGGGTACAGAACTGGCAATTCGGGTCCGACCGAGTTGCAGGTAGAGAGTCTCTGCGCCACGCCGAGACGAAATGGAAGCACCGCGGCATGAGAGAGGAGTAAATTAGATGGACCGACAGCGCCGCCGAGGTCCAGCCAGTTCAACTCAGGCCAGTGACGGACGACCACTCGGTCATCTTTGAGTTGGTTGGCAGGATCGGACGTCCTGGACTTACTTGATGGAGACGCGCGCGCAAGGGCAAAAAAACAAGAAAGGAAGCAAAGGAAAGAAAAGAAACATCCCAACCCCAGAATAAGCAAAGGGAACGCACACGCGCACGAACATGCGCGAAAACCCTGGCAAGCCACCCGGAAACCTGACAGGCGAGGGTTTGCCTGCTTCCTTGCCTCCCCTGTCCAAGCCGGGACAGGGTGTGTTTTTTTTGCCTTTTCTGCACTGACAAAACGCCTCCTTCTTTTTTTGGCGAGCAAATAGTTGAGGGATGTCGAAATAGGCAAACGGACTGTGTTGCCAAACATTGAGATATGAAACATATGTGTGTCGATCTCAACTTTATGAGCTTCCATGCAGTTGCATGGCCGGCGTTGGCCTGGGCATACACGCATCTGCACACCCCTCCCAGACGCAGTTGATGGCTTTCCTCCTCCAGTCGGGTCTGGACCGAGTCTGGTGCGTGAAACGCGTCAGTTGAAAAAAAATTGTGATATGAGGAGATATCGTCCGTACACTGGCGGAGCCTGTACAAGTACGAATATTGATTCTTGATGCTAGATGCATCCTGGGGCCTGCTTTTGCACCTGCAGCTTGCATTAGTGTTGCTGCCGTGTGGAGGGGACTGGAATCACCTTGGGTAGCCAGAGACAGGGCTTCCCCTTCTCAAACCTGCAGTTTGCAGCAGCTGAGTGGTTGGAACCACTCTCTGGCCACTCATGGGTTCAAGGCACGTTGCTTCTTCCTTCTCCTCTCCTCGCAATCCTTCCCCCTGCCCAAAGAAAAAGCAACTTGAACATGCTAAAAACGCGCCAAGAGCCGTTGTGACATGACTCAATCGCTGAAAAAGAAATCTTGCATCAAGGATCGGGAAAACAAGTGGAGAGGTTGACAAAAGCAATTGCTGAGTGAAGCGGTGACGTGGTTGAGTTGACTGAAGCCAACCAAGATACACACAGGTGCCCATTCGAGTGTTCCCTTAGGCGACGGTAACAGTGACAACCCCACGTCAAGTCTCACATTGCCCCAGTAGAGCAGATTCCAAATCACACTACGATGCTTTCCGACAACGAAAGCGGCCCGTGATAATGCATGCAGTTGACGAGAAAATGCAGGCTGTGACGGCCGATTCCGCAACCGGGCACGCGAAAGCGACGTTCCAAGAGAACCCGTCACACTGGGCCGGTCCATCACTCCAACCAGAACCAGGATATGAGATGCCCGTCCGCCAGCGCTCCATATCACACACACACACTTGCGTGTGCATGCGTGCGAGCAGCACGTTCCGTGCCCCGAAAAGGGAACCAACGAAACGAGCACCGCCGCCACGCCAGACAATTTTTCGCAGGGTCGAGAACAAAGCCACAAACCCCACGCACCCATGTATCAGACCTCAAACGCGGCCGTTCATTTTCTCGAAGCACTTGCTTCCCACACGCCGCCCCTCTCCCCCCAAACCGAAAAGCCACGGGCCGCTTGGCGTGGGTTCTGTGATATGTTTCAAGTCCCCTTAGCTGAGGGGCCTTAGTCACTAGTGAGGATGGTAGTTGCGGTTCTCGAACAGAACAAAACAGACAGTCTTCTGACACTATGAGCCCTATAGCGGCCTCTAGCCGCGAAACGCCCGGTTCTTCCTAACGTGGGTAAGCAGCTATCAGATAGGAATCACGCCAGAACCCTCTCTGGCTTTTGGCGATGATGGGGTCAAGAAAAGAAAATTCTGCGATAACGAGAAGAGAAAAAAAAAAGAAACGAGGCGGTGGTACGACGGAGGAGCTTGTCAGAGTATGATAGCTCACAAGGTGGTCCAGCATCTTGCCATTCTGACTTCACTTGTAACAGACGACTCGGAGGACTTACCCACCCGTAGTCCACAAGCTCGTGCCATGGCGTCTGAGTCGCTGCTCATTCAGCGATTGTTCTTGCGGAAAAGAAAGCACCATCCGCTCCGTTGCAAGAGAGCATTGACAAAAAGCCCAGGGCCCATGCCACTGCTGACCTCCAACTCCGATTCGTCCAAGGCAGACAACCTCGCACCACGGCGCACTTCCGAGCGGAGCGGCCGGTAGAAGCAGCGGACCAAGGAGAAAGAAGAAGAAGAAAAAGCAAAGCCTTGCAATGCGAGATCTGATATATCGTACTGACACACGCAGGAGCTGCAGGATCTTTGCTGCACCCAGATACCAACACGATCTCACTAGAGTACTTTGTAGG